ATGGGTTCCATTTGTCTAAATATATTAACTGAGTTTTACTTGATATGTTTATTGTTGTCTCCAAAAGTTTCCATTTAGACTAAACCCAAGCCAGCTAAACCTGTGGCTAAAGTGATCGTGTAATCATTTCATGTCTAACTTTGTCAGCCCCATTTTGACGTAAGGCAAAGGAAACAATAAGAAATGCAATTAGAACAAGCATTTGTCCCAAGTTAACAAACCTTGGTTTTTCTTTGCTATAACAAAGATAAGTAAACTTTTTTGATTAATCTGCAATTCCATTGCTTGAGTTTCTCCGGGAACAAATGGAACAAGCACAGTAAAAAAGAAAATAAATGAGAGAAAATAAAATTGAACCTCTAGGGAAGTCAGGAACATCATCTTCAAGCTGCAACTGAACAGCTTCCTTTGGTTCCTTCTTTGTTTTGAATGATTTCTTTGATGTTTTGTTCAACTTTGAAGTCTCTATAGGTTTTTTCTTCAAATATTTCTTAGAAGGTCCAGCCATTGTATTCAACTTATCCAAGTTAAATTTTGAACCTAACCAAAAAACCACAAATAAATAGATTACCTAACAAGAAACCAAAGCAACAACCACATTTTTTATTAATAGTTTGCATAAATCAAATTACAAATGGAATCATCACTAATCTGGATAAAACAGTACGCCTAGAACATTAAAATGACAACTGGTCATATACAGAAATCAAGTATTGAAAACTAAATAGAATAGGAAAGTATTAGGCACATATGCTACTCTATAAACCTTTTTTTTGAGGATATTACTCTATGAATCTAAAATTGAGATACATAAGATTATGCCCTATAATGGTGCATCAGTTGTTGATAGTGTCACAGACTCATTCAGTCCCCTCTAGTCCCCAATACAAACACAATGGACTTTTTTAAAAGAATAAAAGAGATGAAGTATATCCAAGAGCACCAACTAGTGCCTCCTATACACAGACGAGTTTAGAAATCAATCAAAATGTCTATTACGTTTCCAATATCTTTATTAGAATAACGCTAATGATCCCTAATAAAAAAGCTTAGAGTCTGGAACAAAGCATATTCAAACATATCAAAAGTAGTTTAATTGGCCTCAAAAGCCCTTCTGTCCGTGTAACCACTAACTGATGTGTTGTCCTACGGCGTACAGCCTATGGCGCATGGTTTATGATTTATTAGGGATCAATTGGGTGACGGCGGGCTCTGTTTGTGGAGAAAGTTGGGCGTGGGATGGTTTAAGTATAAAAAGAAATGTTGCAAAATTAATTCCATTAACCATTATTTGGGTTCTTTGGAAAGAGAGAAATGTTTGAGCTTTTGAGGAAAAAGAGCAAGGGCTATATAGATTAAGAGATAGATCGATAAAT